CCTGCCTCAGCCTTCCAAGTAGCTGGGATTACAGGTGCCCACCACCACGCCCGGCTCATTTTTGTACTTTTAGTAGAGATGGGGTTTCGCCATGGTGGCCAGGCTGGTCTCGAACTCCTGAGCTCCAGTGATTCGTCTGCTTCGGCCTCCCACAGTGCTGGGATTACAGGTGTGAGCCACCGCGCCCGGCCTGAGCAAGTCTGTAAAGCATAGAGTTTTCTCTGAGAAGCGTGCGGCTTCGTGACTCATGCAGTCGCCAGAGGCTCACGCATGCCCTTGTGCTCGGTTCTGTGTGTCACTGATTGGCACGAAAGGGGTCCTAAGGCGCTGGCGTTCTTGCTCCCCGCTTGTAAAGGGCCCGCTGCCCTCCGGGTTGAGGTCTGTCTGCACGGAGGCCTCTGGCTGCCGCGCCGGGCTGGTGCGGGGACTTGTAGTAACAGGGCCCCCCGACACAGTGCTGAGTTCCTGCCAGGCCAGGGCAGTGCCGCGTCCTCCTGAAATGCTGCAGTTCTGCAAGGTGGTTTTCCCAGCCGTGAGGCCGGAGGAGAGGGGAGATCCCCAGCTCCGACTCCTCGGAGCCAGCACGTGGGGTGAACACAGCAGCCGGTCCTGTGGGAAGTGGCCCCCGTGACGTGGCTCCAGCACTTGGAGACTCTCAGGGCCCCTCCAGTGGCTGCGTCCAAACTTGGCTGATCCTGAACAGCGCTTTCCCTGGGCTCTGGTCTCCGGCCAGATGGGGGCCCAGGAACAGAGAGCCTGAATTGCCCTGCAGAGGGGTCTCGTGGGGATGAGAAACAGCCGCATAAAGAGGCCGCTGTGCAGCCTTTGCTGAAATAGCCGTGCTTCCTGCCGTCTTCCCACGTGACCCCTGATGCGGGTGCTTCCCGGCGCCTTCCTGCCCAGGGGCCGCTGTGTCCACCCCACAGCCTCTGCCTCCAGCTGGCTCTGCCTCGCTGGGGCCCCTGCCTCTGCTCGCTGGCTGGCGCCCCTTGGGGGTAACATGTTCAGGCCTTTCCTGACCTAAGCAAAAGTCTCAAAGAGGAGCATATCTGCTGGCCCTGCACCCTGTCCCGTCTTGCCCCAGGCAGCTGGGCAGAAGGTGGAGGTGTCTGGAGAGCAGGGTGTGGGCGAGGGGTGCCTGAGGAGGAGCGGGGCTGTGGGAGAACATTGGGTGTTGTTTTGTGTATGAAGGGCTGGTGGAGCTCTAGGTGTGAGCCAGGGTAGGGGGTGAGGACACCAGTCAGGCTGACATAGGGGCCACTGGAATCTCGGCAAAGGAGGCAGGTGGTGGCTCTGGTCCCTGAGTGGTCCGGGGCTGCCGTGATGGGACAGAGACCACACGGCTCACAGCAAAGGGCGTCTATTCTCTCCCAGTTCTGGAGCCCGGGAGTCTGAGATGAAGGAGACCACAGGCCACGCTGCCTCCAGAGTCTCCTGGGAGGATCCCGCCTCCTCCAGCTCCTGTGGCCCCAAGGCGACCCTGGGCGCCAGTCACTCTGCCTCTGTCCATGCCTGCATGAAGCCGCCTCCTCCCAGTCTGAGAGCTCGTCCTGCCTTCATCCTGTAAGGTCATTTGTCAGTGGCTTCAGGGCCCAACTCTGACCCAGGATGCTCTCTCAAGATCATCACTTAATTACAGGGTTCTTCAATACATCCACAGAGACAGTTTTTTCAAATAAGCTCGCATTCTCAGGTTCCTGGGGCCGGGATGTGGGTATCCTCTTTTTGGGGGCCACCATTCAACCCACTGCAATTGTGCTCTGGGCCCTAAAATTCATATCTGATACACGTGTACAGTGTGTTCACCCCATCCTAGCGTCTCCCGAAGTCTCAGCCCTGCACAGACCAGCTGAGTCCCAAGTCTCATGTAAATCTCATCGCTCAGAGCTCCCAAATCTCATCCTCTAAGCATCCAAACCAGAAGCCAGTGAAATGTGGGATCTGGTCCATGCTGGACAGAACTGCTCTCTCTGTAGATCTGTGCAAGCAAGGAAGCGGTTATCCCAGAACGCGGCAGGGGACAGTCCGGGAGAGGCATGTTTGCTCCAAAAGGGAGAATCAGGCGGGAAGGTGCCACTGGTACCACACGAGGCTGAGGCCCAGCAGGGCAGGCTCTGGGGTTCCAGGGCTTGAGGTTGCCCGAAGATCAGAGGGTGGAAGGCCTGTGTCCACACACGTGTGGCTTTAGTGCGTGGCAGTCCCTCGGCCACGCTTGTGCAGCCCCCCCATGGAGTCGAGCCACTCAGACACCCCCAGGAGGAGACTACACACAGCAGTGACCCCCACCCCCCCCGGGAGGAGACTGCACACAGCAGTGACCCCCACACCCCGGGAGGAGACTGCACACAGCAGTGACCCCCGACCCCGGGAGGAGACTGCACACAGCAGTGACCCCTGACCCTGGGAGGAGACTGCACACAGCAGTGACCCCGGGAGGAGACTGCACACAGCAGTGACCCCCGACCCCGCCAGGAGGAGACTGCACACAGCAGTGATCCCCCCACACCCCGGGAGGAGACTGCACACAGCAGTGACCCCCGACCCCGGGAGGAGACTGCACACAGCAGTGACCCTCCCCACTGCCATTGCTCTTAGGGTTGCTTCATCCTGGACCTCACGGCCTCTCTTTAAAGAGTTGCTAATTTGACCCTTTTTCGGGTGTTTCTGAGGCACCAGGTGTATGAATCTGGCCCAGAGAATCCAAGTGAAATGGCGGGTGGGTCTAGGATGCTGTGGATCACCTCAGAGAACTGCCTGGCGTTGTGTGCCCAGAGCAGCCCTCCACATCACCTGCACATGCATCAGTCGCACCTGCTCCGTGTGTCTCTCCCCAGTGTGTGAGCACGCGTGCACACACACGCACACCCACACGCACACGCACACGCACACAGCGGCCTGGAGCACCGCAGCACACCACTGAGCTTTCGGGCCTTCCCTCCTGCTGGGTCCACGGAGCTGGTGGGGGTGCTCTGGCCACCGTGGGTGGTGGATGTGGGTCTGTGCGCCCCGCTCCTTCTTGGGGGCCGTAGCACTAACTTGTCCTGTCTCCCACAGAACATACGGTCCCTGATGAGTGCAGAGAAGGCCAAGGGTTTCTGCCAGCTGGTGGTCTCGTCCAGCCTGCGGGACGGCATGTCCCACCTGATCCAGTCGGCCGGCCTGGGCGGCCTGAAGCACAACACAGTGCTCATGGCCTGGCCTGCGTCCTGGAAGCAGGAGGACAACCCCTTCTCCTGGAAGAACTTTGTGGGTAGGTGTGGCTGGTGG